CATTTAGGTGTTTTATGTCTGAAGTTACCAAACCAAAGAAAACTGACTTGGAGGAGGTTATTGCTACAACTTGCCTTTCGTGTTAAACCTTTTTGTATTTTATTGGCTAGCAGTGGGTTATAGGGGAATTTCCAACCAGAATAAGTAATAACTTTCTATTGCAGCTTGCAAAAAAGACCTGTAAAGGGATCTGACATAAGACCTACTGAGAAAAAGTGCAACTGCTGGTTTCAGAACACTCTTAAGGCTCATGAGGGGTTTTTTTAATTTTATTTTTTTCCATTTCAGTATGCCAGAAGTGTGGGCAGAGAGGAAGTAGTGGGTTTATCAGAATCATACTGAAACCAACAGGTGGCACCATTTATGCTTATATAAAAATGTTCATCTCTGTTGAAATGTAACATACAGAAGGGTTAAGAGGTCAGTATCCTCCCATTTGTTTCATGCTGCTCATCTCTGAGTCCCCAGGGACATTTCATAGTGGTAGTATATCCACGGAGATGAGACTGCCTGTGAAGTCAATTAGAAGGTGAACTGAATGAATTCCAGGGAGGGAGAAGAACAGGTTTTAGAGGCTGTGGGTAGAGTAAGATTTGGCTGATACATTTGAAATCTCAAGTCTTTGATGTTGTTAGTAGCAAACATCTGTCCTTTTCCTACTGAATCCATGTAGGGAGCAGTAGACAAGGGTAATACAGAAAGGCTGTTGTAGAGTGCAAAATTTGCCTGAGATTTCCTAGTTTATGTAATTCTGTTGTTCAGCCATTGTTGTCATTTTGGTACCATGATCATAACCTGAAACAGAGGTGAAAGAGGAAATCTGTCTTTATGTTTTCAGTTTCTAGTTCCATGCATGAGATACCTGGGATATGTGTCAATATGTAAAAACACATTATTTCTAGAATACTGATGAGCTGAAGTTTCGTAGCTTGACTTAAGACTAAAGATCTCACTCCAAATCACTGTTAAGTACTTCACTGATGGTAACTTTGTAAAGACACTGGCAATATACCGTGACTTTTAGCATAATAGTAAGTAACTGCAAAACATTTGTTTTTGTTTAAAGACTTTAATCAGGAAAGTGACAAGTATTTCCTTTCCTTTTGAAAGAAATTTTCAAAATGCATGAACATAGGCTTTTCTCAACTGTAATCTTACAGTTTAGTGAACTGACTGGCTGTTTTGTTTCACAACTGTCATAATTCCTTCTTTTCTACATTTGATCTATAACAGCAGTAAAAATAGTAGGATTTATTTAATATTTATTTTATTTAATAATAGTTCAGATTTTTTCTCTTACAGAAATAGGCTTACTGGGCATTAGCCTAAGAACAGATATCCACATGAGTTGGAAATACTAGACCTAATGGTGAAAGCTAGAATTAGTGCAAGTTATTAACTTGTTGCAGATGGGATGGATGGCAGACAAGATGTCTATGCATAGATCAAGATGTATTGCAAATAACATAACAATAATTGTTGGGGTTTTAACTCTCCAAAATAGAAGGCACAAGTACAGTAAAAGTGCAGGGAAACTGGAAGATGGGTAGTTGAATGTAAAAGGTGTCTTAACACTGAATTTTACGACTTACAGTGTCTGATGACACCTCCCACTAGACCAGGCTGAACAAGGCCTCATCCAACCTGGCCTTGAACACTTTCAGGGAGGGGGCATCCACAACCTCTCTAGGCAACCTATTTATTTAATGCAACATTGTGTTAAATAGTCTATTAAGCTGAAAGTCCTGATATATTGCCAGTGTCTTTGCTAAGTTATCATCAGCTATGTGATTAACAGTCATTTGAAGCGAGATCTGTTTGAATTCAAGCTACTCATGGAATCATACTCAACTGTTAAGTCATCAATGCTATAGAAATGAAGTTTTGGCACATTTCAGTAAATTCAGTAATTTTACAGCCTGGCCCCATAAATGAGTTGTTTAATCACAGCTATCAAAGCAAGGGCCTGGACCACTGTAGTGGTCACTGTGTGGCTGCAGTCTTCCCCTTACAAGCTTAATAGTGGTGCTTAAATAGCAGGCTCCATTTTCCAATATGGCAAGATGCACCTATTCCTTTGTCAATTAAACTTATTTCTCTATTCAGCCTGAAAATCAGGAAGTGGTCAGGGGTGAATATCTAGAGATTAGTTATGAGAAACGAAGAGCTTCTCTTTTGGAACTGTGGTAAATTGCTTCTCTCACATTGTAATCTTAGAAAATGAGTGCATCGCAAATAAATTCTTAAGAGGGGTATCTTTAGGCTTAAAACTAAAGTTACAACAAAACTCCAGAAACTAATAGCAGGTGCAAAAATGCTCATTGGTTAAAGCATTTACAACATCAATCAATCTCTAAAAAACAGTCTTAACACATTTTCATATTAGAATAGCTACTCAAATGACTTAAGATGACAGAAATATTTGACAACCAAAATTGCAAAGACTACTTATACCACACAATCAATTTTATCAATTCAGGCAGAGTTTGGGAGGCAGGGATTTGCAGAGATCTGCAGGAGACTTCAGCTGGAAAGCCTCTTAACTGTTTCATTAATTGTCTTGTGTTTTTTCATTTGAAGTAAAATTGATCCCAAGTTGCATAATTTTGATAGTTAATACAGCAGGTACCATATTTTGAGTACAATTTTTTTATCTTTCTCGGTTAAACAGTTAAACTTCCCTTATGTATAACTGAATATGACAAACAAAATAATACATATGTATTCTAAAATTGTGAAAGGTTCTTTCTTATTTCTTCATTACGTACTTATTCCTGTCCAGAAACTCTTTAAATGAGAAGATGCAACGTCCTTTTCAAATATTTAGACCCACCAGTTTACTATTAATTTAATTCTCTCAATGATCACCCTACTCCTGGAAAGGTGAAATTCAGCTAGGATGATAGGAGTTGTGCTGAATAGTACCAAATGCATCAGGCTGATTGCTAGAGACACTCATGCAGATGTCTGACTGCATGTCATTACAGTGAGTACTGACTTTGAAAAGAAAAATACCAGTTTCTACAAAATTGTGTAATTAGCCTTCCCTTTTAATCTCATTTCGTTTATCAGTGATATGAAGTGCCAATAATGGTCAGATTTGTTTCTTCAGTAGCTTTTCTAAAAGCATTTATCTAGAATTGGAGACTCCTTTGGCTTGTCTGGTTTTAAAATGTTGCAGTTTCTTAGTGCAGGAAACAAGCTACTTAGCATTCTACCTCAGAAATCCTGTCTCATAAACTCAAATGTATTAATACAATGAAATAATTATATGCAAGATGATTTTTAATTGTGAATTACATTTTACTTTGTCCGTTTTGCCATTGCATTTGCTTCTTAAATATGCTTTTTACCATCCCCTTTTTTACTGACAAACAAAATTTCCTCTCTTTGCTTTGGAGAAGCAACCACTCGGCCTATAACTGCTTTCTGCTTGCAGAGTCCTTCAGCTTTCAAAAAAGAAACTGAGTGCAATGCAAAAAAAACCCAACCACCAACCAACCAAAAAAAAACAACCAAAAAACAAAACCCAGGCCCAAAAGCCTTTTACATACATGTGTATCTCTGAGTCAAAGACATCGGCCTTTTTAGGTTTATGGTTTTGGCAAAGAGAAACTGAAAAAGCCAGTTTCAATGGGACAGTTATTTTTAGAGTTGCACAGCATCTGAGGCTTTGATTAAAGACATATTTTTTCTATCTTGCCTCAGTGGTGGGTGGAATGTTCCTCCTGCTGCACTACTAAATGCCTCTAAAGCAATCTTGTATAATCAGAGTTTCAACCTTATTGTGACCTGTTTAGCATTAGGGTAAATGTGGTCGTATGAGTCTCCCTTTACTCTCTCTCTAGTTTATGGTAGAACAGGCCTGCAACTAACAAAGAATATAGTGATACAATGCAATGATTTATGTTTGTATGGTCACACCATGTAACAGCTCAGTTACATCTCTTACGTGAAGTCACTCATTCCTGCAATCTGAGTGCAATCAGATGTGCAATCCTGCAATCAGATGTGTGTGTGGCTGCTGCTTACCTGAACCAGCCAAATGACCGGATTTAATTTTCTATATACCCTTTTTTTGTTTCTATTAAGTACTAACAAGCTTTATGTTGAATCAAGTTTGTGATGAGCATTTTACCAGAAGTAGGCTGGCACTATTTGAATTCAGTTTTAATTTTGAAATTTGGGGTTTTAAAGCAGTGTTGATGGCAGATCTTGGAGGTACCAATGTGAGGTACATGCTGGAATCCTGGTCAATTCTCATGTTCCTTCTGCACCTACCCACCATTTGCTTCTTTGAAAACTCTCTGTAGTTTCTGAAACCACAACCAGATGTTGTTACTGGCTCAGGAAAACTGTTCTGTAGCTTCAGCTGAATCTGCGTACTGTTGAATACAAAACAAAACCACAAAACCTTTCTAAAATTATTTGTTTTTCTGGAGACCGCCATTAGTGAACAGGAAGCTTTATGTACTTACAAGCAAAGTAATTAAAGCTTCACTTCTGTTTACTTCTGAAAGTTACATTCTCAAGCTGTTATGCTTATTATTTCCATTTCCTTTATATTTAGAGAAGCAGTTTGTAAAGTAACCACTATGCAAATGAAATATTCTGCTTAGGGCTGATGGGTTGAGGTGAATTGGATAGTACAATAGGTCAAAGTTTGTAGACTGTTCACTGTTCTGGCTGAGTATGTTAACTGCACTTTTCTAGTATTTGCAGGTATCGTGACTTTTTGTTATGGTTAAAGCCTGAATGAAGAACCTTAGCTGGCCAGCTTTTATTCAGCACTGCATTAAATAAGGTTTCACTTCTCTTTGTCTAGATGGAATAAAGGTGGGCCAAAACAATGCACAATTTACTATCTCAGTTTAGAGAAAAGGAAACACTTGCTCTTTTACAGTGTAAAATGAATGCGTAATAGACAAAATAAGTTTACAGGATTTATTCACATGAAGTTGTATTGAGTGATCCTTAATGTGCTTTTTCTTTCTTTGCAGCTACTGGCTGACGAACAAGGTCCACATTAAACGACCCAGCACTGGTCTCCTCATGTATACTCTTGCCACTAGATTTTGTGATGAAATTCACCTGTATGGATTTTGGCCATTCCCAAAGGATTTACATGGAAAACCAGTGAAGTATCATTATTATGATGATCTGAAGTATCGATACTTTTCTAATGCCAGTCCTCATAGGATGCCATTAGAGTTTAAAACGTTGTATGTGCTGCATAACAGAGGAGCACTTAAATTAACAACAGGGAAATGCAGACAGAAATAAAGCACATGTAAATTACAATAAGAAGTACAGAATACACATTTCATCATAAATATGTTCTGAGATGGCACAGTGGGATCCAATAAGGATATGTGTCAGTACCCACTAACCATCAGAAAAAAGGACTTTTATCAGAAGTACATAGCCAGCTATTATACCTGTAGACTGCTATACAACTAAGCTATCTTGACTGCAAGAGTTCCAGTAAGTGCCACTTTCACTACGAACTGAGCTTGAATGTATACTCAGTAGTGTTTACAGGAGCCACTGACATATTCATCATGAATGAAAGAAGAAAAATATAGCCTGCTTACTGCTGATTTGCCACCGTGGTCAGACCGCACCCAGCAGATAGAATATTTTCTTGACCAAATAAACCAGGCCTGGATAGAAAATGTCACGATGGAACCAAGTAGATAGTGATGTCCATAAGATCAAACAAATCAGTAAATGCCTTCAGTCACAATACTCTTTATGATCATGTCTTTTAACAGTTTTTCTTGCTGTTTCTCTTATTACTGTTGCGTTCAGTTGCTTTTGAGTATTGGAGCCGTTAAAGGGTTTTGAGAATGTTACAAATAATTAGAAGTATGTATGTTATGGAATTGTCTTAGGAAAAAATTCAAGGATGGGAGGGTGGAGGGAGGAGTCAAATATTTTATCACTTTTTACTGTGTTGGATCCTGCTGTCACATGACCCTTAATGTCCCAATTGTTTTTCTAGCTACCATTAGTTTCCTCTGCATGGAGCCACTCATAGGTCCAGTTTTTGATCCAGTTTTAAAGATAAGTTTGTTCTGTTGTGTTCATATTTGAAGACATACAAGCAGGTGCCTTTATTTTTGGTACCAAAGATTACTCCTATAAACATGTTTTGTTTCTTTGAAGAAGTGCTGTAGATTTAGTATGATTTTCCTTTGCTGCTGAAGAGAACACATGATTTATGTAATTTGAGTTTTTGAAGTAAGCATCTCAAAACAAAGTCTCTTTACTGACTTTGCATATAGAATTTAATCAGAAAAATCTTTAGGAGTAAACAAGTATTTCATACAGTCAAATATATATGAATAGACAATTTTAATTCTTGATTGAAAGTAAAACACAAAGTCTAAGGGAACTCAGGTGACATTGGAACACCTCTAAAGAAAAAAAACCAACATATATAAAATTACTTTTTAAAATTACATTTCTAATAGTGTTGGATGATGTCTTTCTCTAATATACCTGTTTGTATCATCTTAACGTTCTGATATGTAATTGACTCAATTAACACAGAGCTGCTTTATCTCACAGTGATTTTCCTGAGAATCAGTTTGTTTATCAACAAAATGAAGAATTATTTCACTCTCTAATTTCAAAAAAGAGAGCAAGAAATCACAGGAGACTGGGAAGGGATTAAGTGTCAGTACAGCATATACTAAGATACAAAACCTGTCTGCATATGTTATATTTCAGCACTAAGGGAGCAGGTAAATTAAGAATGCCCTTGTTTCACCATGTTCCAGCCAAGCAAGGCTAAAGAGGGGCCATGCAGATACAATGCATGGGTATTATCTTGTTATCTTTAAAGCTGTACATTAGGTCCTCATCTCCAAATATGATATTAATTGTATCAATAGATTTTCAAACCAGCTTGAGCGATTTCATACGTAGCACAACACCTACCAACATTTGGTGGCTAAAAATGCATTTATTACCAATTTTTCCTCTTAAGTTCACACTTATTTCATTATGCATGACTAGAGGTCTGTGTTTATGCAAATTTAGTAACTAAATCATTGCCTTGCAGACAGTTTTGCCAAAAGTTGTTTGGAAATAGTCATTCTGCTACATGTAAGACACAGTAACAACTTTCCCTTTTGACCAGTCTCTCCTACCTAGGGCAGTTTACTTTAGCTATATACTAAGATCTGGGATGTTGTCCTAACGTGATCACTGAAATTAAAGCATCACGAAGAACTAAACAGCAATACAGACCAGAATGTGTTTAATTTGTTGTTGATAAGCCAGAGGGTGTAGTTTGTATGCTGTGTAAGCTTGCAGTTTATGACAAGGCTTATTTCCTTGATTGAAGGTGGGTATATTCTTGGTTTTTTCTGCTAGAGGTTTGCTGCTGTTGATCTTTTAAAACTTAATTTATATACATTGACATTATTTCTATTTAGATAAAGAATTCACATGTGCCAGTCTCACAGAAGCTCTGAGAAGCATCTGTTTAGCTTTATCTTTGGAAAAATATCTTTTTCTCTCTAATGTCAGCCCATCAACAAGAATGGAATTGAATGAAATTGAAATATTAACTAACAGGTGATTTTTTTTTTTTTACCTCAGGGAAGGTTTTAAAACAGCAATTGATTATTTCTCTGGAAGCAAAGCAGATGGAGACACTCTTACTCCTATTGTAGTAGAAAAAAAATTACTTGTGTAATTGAATAATAACAATGAGACATAAATTGTCTAAGTTTGTCCTAAGAAATCAGCAGTTGAAGAAAAATTTGGCCTGAGCCTGTTTTGCAAGGTTCACATTCTGTAAGTGAAGTTAATTTTAGTACACAAGCCACGTGTACAAGGGCAGTTTTTCTGACATAGTCTGGCACAAGCAAAACAGTAGCACCTACTTTCAAAGCAACAGGGTTTGCCCATACCTCCTCAAAACAGAGCCTTAATCTCATCTCCTGCAGGCTTTCCACTTCCAATATTGCACACTTCTGGCACCATGAGCCATGGTCTTAGGGCTCCCTTCTGTCATCCACAATTATCTTTCCCATAGCACTCTCCCCTCAAACTTACACCCAGGTGTGTTTCCCTACCAAAAGCATAGAACTCCTCACTAACCTGTGTCCTGCCTCACCTGGCTCAGCTTCATCCTGAGCTGAGGTGTAATGTAGGGAGTGATAGGTTTCAAACCATCTTCTGAGGCAAGTAGCAGTTGTAGTCTTTGGTGGTGCAATTTATTAGCAAACACTAGAAGCCATTTTACTCTATTGCTCATGTGTAAGATCAGTGTGCATGTGGCACACAAAGCTTCTGAGGCTCCCTGGTGTGCAGTCTGTTGTGCTGAAAATTGTCTGTTTTGGGGTGTTTTTTAACCACCAGTTACTTTAGGATGTCCTGAGGTGAGACATGCCCAGAGATTTTCCTCATAGGTTACATGGCCTTGGTTCTTAGCCCTCTTGCTGCTGGGAAGCTGTAGCAGTGGACTCACTGCAGACACCCTTTCTCTACTCCCAGCTCTGTGATGCTCTGAGGCTCCTTCTGCATTTCTTCTGAGGCATCCCAGGTTGTGAATGAAAAAAAACAAATTACTTCCACTGTGTGACTCTTCATCCCTATAGCAGGCCTGAGACATAGCTTCAAAGGCTTAGTTACTCTATAGGGACTTTAGAGTGGAATAAATTTTAACTTAGGGTCCTTCACTGGTCAGCAATCAACAGCTTAATCCACCATAGCTGCCTTGGATTATTTCTGTTGCTTGTATAGATTCACACTTCTCAGTGTAACCCGTCAGTTAAACAGGTTTATTATGATTACCACATTACTCATTCAGCACTATGAAGTAGATGGGATAAAAAGAATTGCTAATTCTGTAATGATATCAGCCCTGTTGAGGAGCAACTGAGGAATGCTCATCAGTGAAGTGTTCCTCAAATTTATCCTCATATCATTCATATCAATTGCCAGATATAGTTCCTGAAAAAATGTTAAAAATAAGAACTGGGAGCTACATCAAGGCAGCAGACAGTGTATATTTTTCTGAATCTTATGGCAGCTTTACATTGGGCAACTTGATTTAATTCAGACACATTTATTGTGAATTGTTTATTATTGTACATGTTAGTGTTTCTGTGGCAGAGAGCCTTTCATATTTTATAAAAATAATAGATAAATGCATTTGTTAAATTTTCAGCTTTGGAAGAGTTCTCTCTCCCAGAGTTCTGAGCCATTCTTCAGATATAAGATCTGCTAAACCTTTCAAAACTTGGCTGGTTTATACAAGCTGATGTGTAAAAGTGTACACTTCCTTTGTTAAACAAGATAATCAACATGTGCTTTAGGTTACCACCCTTTCTCTAATTGCCTGCAATTTGAAGAAAAACAGGTCTGGCTTCAGTACCTAATTTTAGTATTTCATCAAAGTGCTGAGCACTCCTTACAGTGACTTTCCTGGGAGAGACATATCCAGGATTAAATGGGGATCTAGATTAGCATATTTCAGGATATAACTCTGAAATTGCACATTATTTATTTTGAAAAGCACTGTTACTTTGTGTTGGGAATAGCACAATTATTCTAATTGTAGATAAAATAAAGTGTTTACAGAGACCTTAATTCCTGCACAGTACTGTTGCTATTGATCATATGTAATACGATTTCAGTGTTTTAAAGTACTGATATATATTTTGTCAGGATTGTCATGTTTGACACTTGTAATATTATTTCAAGTACAGCTGTGGGGATTGGGTTTTTATTTGTATACTGAAAAATAAATTTTTTTCATTTTTTCTTCTATATCTTGTTCTGTATTTCTTTGTAACACATGTGACATTTTTCAGCTAAGGGCTAACTGTAACGGTATGTGGAGGGTGAGTGTCTTCTCCTTTAAGGTGTCTTAAGGACTTTCTCAATAGAAAAGGGGATATTAAGTAAAGGAGGAAGCCATAAACAAGAACAGAGAGAGACAAACCTGACTGAGAATGATAAAGAAGGCAGTGATGAGAACCAAAACTGGTAAGTCTCACTAACTGTTAATGATACATGGAATGCAGGATTTTTTTTCCAGTAAGATTGTCTGATTGAGGACCTTGTCAAATGGGATATTGAAGGGGAAGCAATAAAGTACATGGAGATACTGACCCGTCATGCAAATCTTAAAGGAGACAAGGAGAAGAGGCTGGCCTCATCAATCATACTAATTGATCAGCTATCAAGAAACTGCAAGCAAGCAGGGCTTCAGAACTGATAAGCATTCAGACTTGAGGGTCTGTGAAGCTGGAGAGGAGTCAGTGGGACTGTGCAAACTGCTGAGGCAATGGGCAGGGGAGGAAGAAAAGAGAAATAGGCAGAGAAGCAGCTGATCAAATGTGTCGCGAGCTGGTATCGGGGCTCCGGCCTGCCAGGAGCTTCCGTGACTTCCCCCCAGGGTGCAGGGGCTGCTGGAGGAGCCCGAGGGTCACACGTGGCGCTGCCTCTCCCAGAGGAGCGGCCGCTGCGGGGCCGGATCTTGGAGGGGAGGTCAGAACGCAGCCCCACCGCGCCCA